AAAAATTGATTATTGGAATAAAGATATAATTGTCAGATAAATAGTTATCAATTATTAAATAGTTGTTTCAAATAGGGTAATTGTCAAGAAAGTAATTGTAGATAAATAGTTATTAAATAGATAGTTATATCAAGAAGAGTTTGTCTGCAAAGCAATTGTTAAAAAAAAAAGATATTTGTAAAAGAATTAATTGTGTATACAAGATATTGTAAATAACAAATTTATATTAGATTAGCACAATTTATCATTTACTATTTAAACTTCAGACTAAACCTGAACTAAACTCATAATTGTGTTTAAGTTTGGTTTGTATTTGGTATTATAAGTTTGAGTTTGATTTGAAGTTTAAAAATTAGTAAATCTAGATTTTGATTTTAGTTTGAAGCTAGACCAAATCTAAATCAGATTGGTCCTAAACTAGATCTAGAAACACTATATAAAGAGTATATTTGTATTTCATCATTACTATTTTACAATATATGAGATTTTTATCTTAAAAATGATTTTATAGTATATAGTACTATAAGGTCATTTTTAAGGCAAAGATCTGATATATTAATATAGATAATTATCTGAACTTAAAGTAACTATCTAGATAAATTATCTGTTAAATAAAATTGTTATCTGTTATCTGTATTATCTAGATAATCTAGATAAAAAGTCTAACAGATCCAAACACTAATGATATATTCTACTGTAAATTCTCGAAATAAATAACAGGCATCTCTGCATTATTCTTAATCATCTTTGCATTATTTGATTACCTGTGCGTTATTTTCGATCACATTATTTAATCACCTGCATGTTATTTTGAATACGTCCATGTGACATTACAGCATTATTCCGAGATAAATGGTCAATTTCAAAACCCCAAATGTTACTTTATTATAAATCTGCTGATATGTTTCATAGGTGCACGGTATTTTGGGATGCGTATGAGCGTAATTTTGCGATTTTTATGAGTGACGTTGGGGTTTTTATCATTGGAATTCTAATAAATTTTGAACCAATAATACAGTATATGAACTATTACCATCAACTGCTGACTCTTGTATCCGGCTATTTCTTTTTCTTTGCCAATCTTTGAAGTTAGAAGTACTGCTTTTTATAGAAACTAACCATTCGTAGGGGATATACGAGTCTGCAGTTTACGGTAACATATAATGCTTGAATTATAAATTTAAAATCTTTCTAGATAAGACTAAGTTATTATTAGTCTTAAAAGAATGTTTGGTTACAAAAGATAAATTTTATTAATTATAATTTAATTCTACCGTTCTATTTATGAATCCTCCAGGGCGCCATCACTTTTGCTGTGACGCAATCAGCCAAAATTCTACTAATGAAACCACAGCCACCCATTAAGTAAAATATTCCCAGACCAATTTTGCTGTGAAAGAGGCCAGTTTTTCTTTTTGAATTCAAAAAAGACAATAGGCCAAATTATAATTTTGAAGATCATCGGCCTAAACTAAGTTAATGCAGGCAAACTGCCTGATCGACATTACTGCAAAATTGATGGACCCTTCTATTTATGACTGCATTTAGAGAGAGACCAACTATAAGATGCACAAGTGTACAGAAAACAAAATCTCTCTCCCATATCTAGTTAGACATAATACTAACCGATTTAGGCTAGTACTGTACTTTGTTAAACTGAAATTATAGTTGATTGTTTAAATATTTGACAAAGAATAATTTTTAAAAATGCAATCTCAAGAAATGTATTAATAAAATTTTTAATTTTTTAATTTTTTACGTGATTTTTTTCTTTTATTTTTAGTCATTTTGGTTTCTTGATTTACAATATTTGCAGCAGTTTCAGTAAATTTTCTTTTTTTCGTAGAATCTGGATTTTTAACACTAACAACTGTTAAGTTTGATTTTTTTCCTAATGTTAATGCTTTTATCTGTGATTCCGCAGCATCCCAACCTTCTGCTGATCCGCCTATCGCATATCTATAAAGATAATAACAAATCCAATCAATTGATGATAATTTAATGGAATATATAAGTATTAAAAAGAAAAAAAAAAAAAGAAAAAAAAGAATCACTTTGACAAGTCCAGTGAGTCAATCAATTCTCTTTGTTTTTCTTTCAACTGCTTCATAACTTCATCACTAGCTTCATCTAAGTCTTCGCTCAGGGTCTTCGATACAGGATCCCATGTTGCATCGTCATCTATTTGAGGATTCGTTACATTTTCCTCAATTGCAGTTGTAGCTACTTTTTTCTTTATGACGGTTGTTTCATGTGGAATTTCTTCCTGAATCGCAGATACTTCCAAAGATCGAAAATATGTAGAGAATTTACGAATAATTTTCATAAATAATGCGAGAACTTGTGCTGCTGGGAGTGTAAGTTCTTTCTAACATGTGAAAATATAATAGCAGAATAAAATATATTACACCACAATGACATAGGGCAATCCAAATAATCTTAGAAATCATAAAATTAAATACCTCCAAATCATCAATACTCTTTCTTTGTAGACCTATACCCAATAATATCGAGCTTTGCACACCAGAAAGTACCACTTCTTTACCAAATTGTTTCCCAAAATATAAATGAGAAATTGTAGGGATAAGATCCAATATAATATGATAATCCAACATATTATTTGAATATGATTCAAGACGTTTAAGATCATAGACAGAAAATTGCGAATCAAGCATATATTTTGTAAATTCTAATTCACACATTAACGGTCAAAAAGAATTGTCAGAGATACATATTTGCCTTTAAAAAAGTCTATAAATGTTGGTAACTCACTCTGTTCTTTATTATTTAAATTTTTATAACCAGCATCGGCCGTTTCCATAATGCTCAATGATAAAATGCTAGGAAAATTCCTAAATTGATAAGACAGAAGAATCAAAAATCTTTTATGAAAATCTTTTGAAAATGCTGCCAACCACTCTTGGTCACATGTGGTTACAAGACCGTCAGATTTTAAGGCCTTAAGCATAACGCAGGTATGTTCGCCAGTTAGATCATTTGGGGTTTGTCGTAAATAAAGTGGGATAAACCCTGCTCGCTTCCAGAATTTATTTAAAGATGGTGTCAAACCATAAGAGACACCAAGATAATGTAACAGAACCGGTCGTTTCTCTGAAAGTTTTAATAGTAATGGTGGCATTTTGTGAGGATCTCGAATTTTAATTTCATCTTTATGAAGATCAGCATTCTATGATTACGACACGAATTAGCAACGAACTTAATAATAATAATAATAATAATATAATAATGTTACAAATATTATGTAGCTTACTTCTAGTTCAGAGTCATCAACTCTCGCCATAGCCTCTTCTGCATAATCTTCATCTTCTTTCAAAGTAGAGAATTCACCTTGGTAAAATGTACTTAACAATTCAAGACATCGTGAACCATAGCCCATCTTGAAAAAAAGGCAATTAAGTAAACAGATCTCAAAACGTATATTATGTGATCTAAAATCGAATGTACCTTCATATAATCAGGATGTGTTGCTATTCTTACTATCCTTGCTCCAGAAAGACTAGCAAAGTCATCATCTTGGAACTGATGAAAAGTTTACAAATTGTTAATAACATTATCGTGTCATTTATATTCACTGTTATTGAAAAATTATTTGATTTAAACCTGCTGTGAAATTAACCAGGGAATTAAGTCTCCACTAGCTCTCTGACCACGTTTCAAGCTATTGAGGACTGCTTGTTTGGATATGTCGCCTTCTAAACACACCTACAATTTTATTTATTTGTTACTATTTAAGCAGGTAAGGGATCCTCTGATATTACATAAGTAATAATTTATAGTTAACAAGCAGGCACTGCCCGATAACTGATTTATTTGGTCAAAGATTTAAAATCAGACTAAGAAATTGAATTACGAAAGAATTTAACTTCTTAGGCCGATCTTAAACTTTGACCAAATAACAAAGTTATAAGGCATCTGTATGACTGGTAACGGATTTATCCGGCACCTTACTATGATTTGTTTGTCAAATAAATTTATTATTCGGCAGAAACTACATAATTGCCGAATAATAAATTTATTTGGCAAACAAATCATAGTAAGGTGCCGGATAATAATCTCTATGTAGGATCAATTATATAATACTCTTATGGTACATATATGGGGAAGCCAGTAGATAAAGAGGATCTCTTGCAGTATAGGTGAGACTATTAATAAAAAGTATAATTAATCAATTGATTTAGAATAGGTATCACCTATATTGCAAGAGATCCGATAAAGAAATAGATCATTTTTAGTAATGTTTTTTTTTTTTAAATAAAAATTTAAAATATCAACAACCAAATTGTCAGCAATAAAAAACTAAAAAAAAAATTTATAAAATCTGGTTTTGTAGTTGTTTAGATATTTCAATTTAAATTAAAAAAAAAAAGGCTTATTTGGGAAATTATACTGACTCCCTCGTATGTATCCTCCAAATAATTATGTATATGCTTACCTGAACAACACATAAAGGATCAGGTAACGAATTATCACCTTTTATTGGAGGTAACAAAACGAACAAGTGATGTGCTGGAGCATCTGACATCAGTTGTAAATCATTTGGTGAATTCTTATAATGACTAGCAACGTAGAGTGCCATCATCCTTTGTAAAAACATCTCTGAAACGGGATGAAACGAAAATAAGGTATCACGATTTACCCAATACAGTTCACATTGCTGTGGATGTGGACATCCTTGAATGTTTTTTGAAATAATGGTCGCATCTAAACATAAAAGTTTATTTAACCATCGTTCTACAGGATCATTAGGACCATAACGAATGGGTTCTTCAAGTTTAATTTCTCGGAGAACTCGACCACCCGTTAAGGCACCATTGAGCGAAGTAAGTGTATCTTTTTTGGTCTTTCCATTTCGATTAATTACTGTCACATCATCATCAGGTTCTGCACGATTTTCTTGCCCAACAAACCCTCTTGATTGTTCTCTAAGTTGTTGAATAAGTTTGAGAGATAAAGATCGACCAGTACCTTCGTAACCATTTATAGTCGATGCCATAAATACCAAATAGGGACCAATGAGATTTTTCACTAGTGGTAATGGAATGGCAGCAGCTTCATCAATTATTAACAACTCAGCTTGTCCAAGGACATGAGCATCCTGTGGTTGTATATACTAAATATGAAAAGAGAGGTATCAGTACAAAAGTGTGACTCAAAAATAGTGCAGTAAAATGACATATAAAATACATACTTGAATAGTCTGCCGATGTTGTTTAAAGATATTAACTCTAACTATGGCTTTATTAAAATCAGGATTTGTAGATTGTATAATATCGTAATCTAAATGTTCCTCATATTCTAAAGCATCAAATCCTTTAAAAATAAATTCAAATAATGTTTTCAAGTTCTCAGGACTTGGGGATGTAACAAATATGTTTGAATAACCGTATGCAACAGCTGCAGCAATCGCAATTCCAAGTGCCGCAGATTTACCACGACCACGAGATGCAGTGAGTGTTACTGTACTACGCAATTTCTTTTCAGATATGGCATCAATAAATGTAAGGATAGCTTTTCCCTGATCTAGTGTTTTAGCTGTGGCAACAAGTAGACCAACAGGCTGTTTATCTGCTAATGAAGCCTTAAATTCTTTTAATTCAATCTGTTGATCAGACATTGATTCTTCAGATGGATTTAACGGCAATGGTTTCACACTTTTTCCAGCGGATATCGGCAACACATTTAATTCATCATCAACTACTAGGCAATTTTCACATGATCCCAGAGAAAGAATGAAACGTTCATTAAATCGGGCAGTAACATCATCATGAGCTTCAGTGCGGTAACGAGAATGTACATCCTTTTTTAAACAGGAATATCATTTGTTAAAGCCAAAATAAATTATTAAAATAAATATTTGTGATAATACGAACCATTGACAATGTATATAACTGTTTTAATGACTTCATAGTCTTGAGCAATAATACAACAATGCCGCCACCCTCTACAGTCTCAATTGTACGTGCCAACAAGTTTGGAGTCAATGCTTCAAAATCCTACAGAATTATTTATAATGATAAGATATAATATGATTAGGATGAAATAGTAAGTCCACAAATTGCTAAAACCGTACCTGTAATATACACATGCCATATGTATTACCCAGGATATTATGTGTCTCCTTATAATACGTATATCGAATATTTGTAACAGCAATGAAAAGTTCGAATGGATCTTCTTCATTAGCCTCCCTTATGCCACGTTTAATTTCCTTTCGTATTTTTGCTTCTCTTTTTTTACGATGACTGTTATCGGAATTAAATTATTAAATTATAACTTAAAAATGAATCAAGGTAAAATAAAATTACACATACCTGGTAAACCCTAAATCTTTTTTATAACACCATAATACAGACGGTCTTGCGGTTACTTGGGCTTGTGAAAGTAGCCAATGTAAATTCACAACCTGTTATTTATTAAAGATTGTTTACGATTTTCTTTAAAAAATTTTTTATAATGTCGAATATGATTTTTACCTGATCTTTGCCTTTATCTCCAACAATCACAAAAAATGATCTATGTTTATTCTGAACACCATTTCTTATCAATGTCGGAATTCTTGAATCGACAACCTTCTTAACCATGTTAACCAGGTTATTGATCAACGATCAGAAAAATTTTCTATTTGAATTCATTGGATGATCGTCAATAATTCTGATTGGCTAAAATTAATGCTACCAAAATCTGCTGATCATTTAAAATTTTTGATAAAAATTAGTATGATAATAAAAAATATATTTTATTCACTTTTACAATTACAATGTACTCTTGTAACAATTAACACTGATTACATTCTTGTAGCTTCTTTGTAGTGTTACAAATCGAAAGTTGAAAAAATCGATTATTTGGTTAGTTGACAACTAATCGATTAGTTGCAACTAATCGATTAAAGAATTAATTGCTAAGCGATTAAAAAATTAATTAATTCTTTAATTAATTAGTAGCAACTAATCGATTAATCGATTAATCGATTAGTTATAACCTACAATTAATCGATTAATTGATTAATTGCAACTTAACAATTAATCGATTAATCGATTAATTGCAACTAGTTTGTCAACTAAAAAAATAATCCTCAACTAATCGATTGGCAAAATCTTGGCGATTTGTAACACTACTTTTCTGAAGCTTTTCGTATTTAGTTAGTGGATGTCGTTTAATCAAAATAGAACGCTATTGAATAACACTTGGGCTAGGTGCTGCAAAAAGGGACCAAATTGACAATTTTTTCAAAAGATATTTTTTTACATAAACAATTTAGAATAAGATTGGGTCCATTTTTTATTTAAAACACAAAGTAGTTGTATTAATAAAATTTTGCTATATTGCTCTTTAAAGTTTGCATTTTCTTATGATTTATTACGAGATTTATAACACAAAAATTGATTTTCCAAAGATCTTTTGTTTTGTCAATTTGGTCCCTTTTTGCAGCACCTAGCCCATATATATTTACACAAACGTGTATGCTAAAAAATTTAATATATGTTTGATGAATATGCAATATTTAAACTTAAAGCAATTAAGCATTTATTTACGACATTAAATATTTTATATTTTGCATCTACATTATATATATATCGAAATATTTTATAACTTGATTAATTATTGTGGCAGCTGATGCTGAAATTGGCTGATTCTGAAATTGGGGACCTCTATTTAAATCTACAATACCTACTAAAATTCATTTATACTTTTTTATTAATAAAACTACCCCTAAACCCTAACCTAACCCTAAAAAAAAAACCCTAACAAAAGGCCCCAAAAAATTTTAAAATTTAATATTAAAATATTTAAAATCTCAGCATCAGCCGATTTCAGCATCAGCTGCCACAATTATTGATATAATTAATCAATTAGCAGAGTTTAACTTATACTCTTTTTTAATATTTGATAGTTCAATTAAATGAACTTTTGCTTTTCTCTTCCGCAAATCAAGTTCACGTTCTTTTAATGCCAATTTTCATTCTAAGTACTCCACTTGTCATATTTTGAGCTTTCATCATTACTGCTTTCATTAGTATCTTCAGATTCAGTATCAGTTTTTTGAGTTTTTTGCCTTTTTGTTGTAGAAGCATTTCTTTTTTTTTTGTTTGCTCTTGGTTTTGTTTTATTTACTTTTTTAGTTTGAACTTTGGCTAATTATGTATAAAATAAATTTAGTAATACATATAATAAATAATTTATTTGCAATAAATATAGTTAATTATTATTAGATCATTTATAGTACCTTTACGTTTATTTGATAAAAGATTATATGAAATAGGGCCTTTGCTACATCCTTGATAAGGTATATTATATTGCTGATGAATATTAATCGCTGTAAATCTTTCTTTATCTAATTTATATTCTCTATAAAAAAATAATAATAAATAAATTTTATTTATAATGTAATATTTATATTTACTAAATATATAATATATACTTACTGCAAAATTGCATTCATTAATTGAAGACCTTTTCCACGCTGATTACTTAAAGCATGTGCAGCTTCTTTAGTATTATTAGAAGCTATTCTTCAAGCATTATTATCTATTTGTGAAGCATTTTTATTAAGTAATGCAATAACCCGTTTTTGTGATAAAATAAAACCCAATCTAGTAAAAATATAAATTTATTTAATATCATATAATAAATTATTTTTTAAATATGCTAACCTGTCAAATTTTCATCAAGTAATTGAATTTTATCAAATAATTTATTAATTGCATCTTCAGAATCAGCTGTAAGAAGCTCAAGCATATTATTTACTACTATATTTTTTATTTAAAATATTTCTATAATATATAATATAAATAAATAAATATAGTGAATAAATAAATTAATAAATAAATAAATTTTAATATTTACTGTTCATAATGTACTTGGCATGACTTAAATATATGAATTAAATGTTCCTCCCAGCTTTTTGTTTTATCAATTTCATTTAATATTATGCCAAGACCTTGTGTTTGAGCTAAATCCAAGTCGGCAATTATACAGCTCCACTCAGTTCCATGAATATGTTTAAACTAAGGTGATAAATTTGTTAATTGAGTTATAAGATCAAATAAAGATCGAAAAATTCTTTGATATGTGATAGTTGTTGCATGATTGGTAAAAACTCTAGCAAAACTAAGAACTAATATTATTTAATAATTTAATAAATATTTAATAAATACTTTATGTAAATTTATAATATAATAAATTATTAACTTACTTAAATTATGAGAATTATTATAATAATTAATTTCAAAATCATTGATCTCTCCAGCTACATGTTTAAAAAATAAATCTATTTGAAAATATTCGCATTTCATCCATTCATTTAATTGTTCAGAAGTTGTACATATAATTAATATATGTTGATCTTCAAAAAATTCTAATAAATTAATTTATAAATAAATAATTTAAATTAAATTTAATAATAAATTAAATAAATATTTAAATACCTAATCATTTTATATAATTATAGATATTATTAATATTGCGAGAATAATTATAAATAACTCCAGGTAACCCTTGACCTTGTAAGTATATTACTTTTTGAATTTTATTTATATAATATCGAAGATGATCAATATTGTTCAAAGAAGCATGAATATTTGCAAGATACTCAGTTCCAAAATAAGATTTAATTAAATTTCCTAAAATAATAAATATGTTAGATTTTTATATAAATATAAATTATTAAAATTAATTATTTAATTATCTGTTATAATACAAGTTGATATAATATTATTTGTATTATTATTTGCTTGATAAATTAATTCTTGTAAACGTTTATATATAGCATCTGGTACCCGATTAGGTGGAGGAGAAGGATGTGTATGAATACCTTTAGATAAAAAAATTACATATGGACAATTTTTTATATTTAAAGGTATTAATCTATAATATTTAACATTGCATGTTTTGCGAACTATTGATCCTTGTTTAACAATACTGCCTATACGATGTGGATGTGCTATAAATATATTAAAATAATAAATTATTAAATTTATAATAAATAATAAATTTTTATTATTAATTAACTTATGGCAATGTGTTTTTTTTGAACTATTATGTAAAACAGTATAACAATTATTTACTGGTTTACTAAATTCACTCTAATTATAAATTAAAAATAAGTTAATTAATTAATTAATTATTTATTTATTTTTAATTATTTATATTATTTTACTTTATAAGTTCCATCTAAAAGTTGTTGAAGCAAATTACAATCTACATTTTCATTAATACTAATATAGCGATGGCATTTTTCTTAATATTGCCAATTTGAACATCCAATAAAATATGTTAGTGGTAATTTTTTATCATGACGATGTAAACGTTTTAATATTGGTAAACCAGTACATAGCACACCATTTTTTTGAAATTGACATTTTGTTTTATATGCTGCTAAATATATACTAAATATATATATTATTAGTATATATATTATAATATAGATAATATAATATATATTTGTTAAAAATCTTACGCAAAAGTATTATTTTCTATATTATTAGCTAATAATTTATTGGTGATTTTTAATTGCAAATCAGAATCAGGATTTACAGATTTGTGCTCTATTTCTTGAAGTTCTGGATTTGCAAATTCGCATATTTTAACTCCTTGACAAGTTTGCTCTTTTTTTGTAACAGCAATATCACCCAAATAAGTGCAAGTTGTTGGATTTTGACTACATGGTTTACCCATTGAATACTGAATCTAAATATTAATTAATATAATAATAATATAATATATTAAAATTTTAAAATAATAATTAAATAATTTATAAAACTATTACATCTGTAAATGCTGAATAAATATTGCTCCATCCATCAACATGATAAATAATTGCAATTCCTTCTTCACTTGTAGAAGAGTATTCAATTGGAGTTAATGAGTGAATTACTTCTTTAGCAGTTAAACTTTTTGTAAAAAAAATAATATCATTTTCTATATCAGATGAAGTTGGACTAAGTGTTTCTTGAGAAAGGGAATTAATAGAAGATATATTTAATGTATCTTCAAAATCAAGTTCGTCTCCGAAGTCATTATCAATACCAAGATCTCTTTCGGTAAAACTATTAGTTGCGACAGAAAAGGTATGATCTTTATCAGAAGCAATATCGTCTGAGGAAATATATATTGCAGCACTAGAAGACATGATATTTTAAGTAAACGTTGGAATAAAAGTATTGTGAAAGAAAAAATTTTAATTACCATTAATTATCATTAATAATTTAAATAATATTATACGTAAGAGAGATTATTTAAAGAAAATTATGCATAGGTAGTTAATTTAATATGCTGCATAATATTTAACTAATATGCAATTGTGGTTTCATTAATTTACGGGCCATACACTACTTCATTGATCAACCATACGTCACAACTATTCATATTACTAGGCCCCATACACTACTTCATTAATCAACTATACATCACTACTATTCGTATTACTCTTACTATTCACTACTTGTAGCATAATTTTTTGTTATTTTGACATTCCCAGTCTTTATCAACTGTCACATTATCTTATCCTTTTTGACATCAATTTCGTACAAAAGGACATTTAATTTCGTACAAAAGGACATCTAATTTTGTACAAAGGGACATT